CTCCCGGCTGGGGACTGGGGCTCTCTGTTCGCCCCTTCGCCTTCCTTGGCTCTGGGTGCTGGGCAGGGATGAAGGCAGGAGCTGGGTGCTGGGATGGGAGGCTGAGCAAGGGGAGGAGGAAGAGGAGGGAGGGAAGAAGGGGAGGGAGAGGGGGAGGATCTGCTAATTACACAGAACAGCTCTGGGGGCTGCTGAAGTCCAGAATGAAGCAAAGAGCAGCAGAAGCGAGTGCTGCAGTGGGAGTGAAGGAGCCCAAGCATCACCGAGAGCTGGAGCCAGCCCATATCCCTGCTGGGAGCGACCGAGGGCACCCAGGGGATCTTGCAGCCCCGGCCCCCCCGTGGGACAGCCTCTGCCACAGCCACCGAGACTGCTGCCAGCTCCTCTGCAGCCAGCCCAAGGCAAGGAGAGGGGAAGGGGCTGGGGGTCCTGGGGACACAGGATTAAACACAGCCCTCGTGCGAGGTGGGCTGGAGGGCAGTGGAGTCAGCCCTGCCATGGTCCCGGGGGCTTAGAAGTCGAAGCGGACCTGTCAGGAAGGGGTGAAGGATGGCTGCTGAAGGAGGGGGAGCCAAGCCTGTCACCCAGTCCAGGATGGAGAACTTCCGAAAGGTGAGGACTTCAGAAGAGGAGAGCCCCTTGCCCTTCCCTGACCTGCCCCCAGACGTGGTGGAGATGAAGGTGAAGGAAGGCAGCAAGATCAGGAACCTGATGAACTTTGCCATGGCCCAGATGGAGCTGAAGGCCAGCCGGCAGATCATCTTCAGTGGTTGTGGCAGGGCGTTCACCAAGACCATCACCTGCGTGGAAATCATGAAGCGGAAGCTGGGAGGTCTTCACCAAGTCACCAAGGTGCGCTACAAAACCTTGATGGAGGTCTGGGAGAACCAGGACCCGCTGCCCAGTGGCCCAGCACAGAACCTGACCGTCCACAAGAATGTCCCCTCCATCTGCATCCTGCTCTCCCGAGACCCCCTGGACCCCAACCAGACGGGCTACCAGCCCCCGGAGCCCTGTCACGGGCTGGGGACACAGCTCGGTGAAGCAGAAGATACGTCCAGCTCCTCCACCAAGGGGCTGAAGCGGCCCCTGCCACCTCCCTGCGAGGAGCTGCTGACCAAGAAGTTTCAGGTACAGGTACCCGACAGCCCGAGGGGCTCTGGGACCATGGACTGGCAC